TGCGTCAAATAATATGAACAACAGAGGAAGAAATAATGATGACGATAATGGAGTTTTCAATGGTATTTACTTCTTTAATATATATATTTTTTACGTACATCACAAGAAAGGAAAAAAACAATCAATAACGATTTCGATTCAAATCTTGTTAGATTTTGAGAGACGAATGGCTCCTCGAAAGAAATCGATTCTTGACAATACTTTTTCTCCAATGATGTGGAAGACTGTTTCTGGTAAATTGATTATATCTTTTGATTTTTTTTCAATGTGTGGTTGGGAATAATTTGATTTTTTGGTTAACCTACCCAGAAAAAACAAAAATTTGACATTTTTTCACATGATTGATTACTTTGCAAACGAAAGCGAAATTGAAGATTTTTTTTACTTTATTTTGATATGGTCTCGTCTCTGTAATCAAAGTTTAGGGCTTTCTTGATCCCAAATGAGAAATCTAGGGTTTGCTAAGCAAATCTTGATATGTTTTCTGGTAAAATTTGTTAGAGAGGAAGTCAAGTCCTGGAATTGAAGGCTTGAATCTATCGAGTTTCGATAGGCCTATGGCGCCAACAACAGAGATTCGTGAACTCAGGTTTGAAATTCATCAATCAATCTCTCTCTCTCTCTGTTTTATTATGTTAAATGTTTCTCAGATTCTCAAATTCTTTGTGTGTTTTCTTGATTTCAGGGTGTTTCTAGCTACATGGAACGTAGGTGGAAGAGCACCGAACAACGATCTGAACCTCGAAGACTTTTTACTCGTTGAAGGCACAGCAGATTTATATATCTGTGGGTATGAAAATGAAATTTGACAAATTTTAGATTCACGGGTCTTTCAAAGTTTCAATCTTTATTTGAAATTTCTCATTTTTGTTGTTGTTTTTGTATCTTAGGTTTCAAGAGATTGTTCCTCTAAGTGCAGGAAATGTATTAGTAGTTGAAGACAATGAGCCTGCAGCTAAATGGTTAGCTTTAATAAGCCAAGCTTTAAACAAACCGAAACAAGACTCTGTTTACTCAAACGCAGCTTTCTCTGCTTCGAGAACAACAAC